CCGCGAGAGCACCCGCAGCAGAGCGCCGCCTCTGCGCTCCTGCACGCCCCGAGGTAAGTCCCCCTGTCCGTCACCGCGTAGGGCCTCGCCGCGCACTCTTGACGGAAGGCGACGCCCTGGTACCCGCTGGAAGTCTTGCCCGACTTGTCCAGCACGATCCCGTCACGCTTCGCAGCCGCCAGCGCCTGCTTGCTCGTCATCTCTTTGACGTCCGGCACCTCCGCCTGCAGCGCGTCCTCCTCCGCGGCCTCCTCCTCCTCCATCTCCTCCGCCGAGTCGACAGGCTCGTCGTCCGGCGCCTCCACGTAGCTGCGGCTCGCGCCTTGCCGCTTGGGCCGCGTTGGGCCCTCAGAGCTGCTCCCGCTCGACCGCTGCCGCAGCGCGCGCCCCTCTGCGGCGGGCGCCGCCGCCGGCGCCGCGCTCCCCCGCTGCTCGGCGGCGCTGAGCTGCGTCCCGCTGGCGGCGGTTGAGCTCCGCCGCTGCCGCCCGCCCTCAAACGGCGCCATGCTCGCGAACTCGACCCCACCCGTGCCTTGGGGAAGTAGCCCCAGCAGAGCGCGGGGTAGGCGCGGCTCGGACAAGCGGCTCTTCCTCTTGCCGCCGCCGCCGCCGCCGCCGCCCTGGCCGCTCCCCGCCGCCGCGTCCGGTCCGAGCCTCCTGCGCCGGAGGGCCACCGCCAAAGCGCCCGCCTCTTTGCTCCGGAACAGGCCGATGTAGTGATATTGCCCGCCGCCTGCGGGATCGCGCACGTCGAACTTGCCTCTTGCTCCGCCGCGCGTCTCGCGCCTGATGCCCTTATACCCGCTCGCAAAGCTCTCATCTTCGACCAGCTCTATCCCTTCCCGCCTCGCCAGCGCCACCGCCTCCTCGCTCGTCATCGCCTTCAGCGTGTCGATCTCAAGCTCACCAGCCGCCGGCTCCGCCGCCGTCTCCGCCCCCGTTGCAACCTCCGCCTCCGCCGCCGTGGCGACGGCAAGCGCACCCTCTGCCGCCAAGCCGCTGCCCCCCTCGCCCCCTTCTGACGCAGCGTCGCTCTCCGTCGCCAGCGCCTCCCCGCCCTGGATCGTGCTCTCCTGCGACGACTGTGCCGGCGCCTGCGCCTGCTGCTGCGCCTGCGCCTGCTGCTGCGCCTGCGCCTGCTGCTGTGCCTCGGCCGTGATGCCTGCCGACTGGCTCGGCCCTCCGCCCTCCGCCTCGGCCACCGCGGGCTCCGTCGCGATGCGCGCCGGCGGTGCGCTGCCCTCGGCCGCCTCCGGAGCGCGGGCCTCCTCGGCGGCGCCCCCCGCGGCGTCCGCCGCCTCAGGCCCCTGCTTGGCCCCGCGCAGCGCGAGCGATTCCTTCGCCCAAGCCGTCACCTCCACCGCCACCTCCGAGCCCGTGCCCTCGCCGGCCACCGCCTCGGTCCGCTGCGAGGCGTCGCTCCCCGCATCTGCGGCCTCGCCCTCGTCTTGGAGCCCGGTGGCGTCGCTCTCGCCGTCGCTGTCGTACTCGCTGCTGACGATGCGGCGGACCTCTGATGCCGCCTCTGGCGCCGCCTCCTCTGCTGCCGCCGGCGCCTCTTCTGCTGCCGCCGGCGCCTCCGCTGCTGCCGCCGGCACCTCCGCCTCCGCCGCCTCTTGTGCGCCCTCTGCTGAAGCCAGGCCGCTGCCTGCCTGAGACAAGCTTGCGACTTCGGCCAGCTCTCGCCCGGCCAGGCCGTGCCGGTTCTCGCGGCCGCCCCGCCAGGCCTGCGGCACGGACTCGGCGTATTCGCCGTTGGGGCCGTAGAAGACGCGGTAAGTCCTCGCCGACCCCTGCCGCTCCTGCGCCACCCACCCCGGAGGCAAGGACTGGCACCGCACGCCCACGCCCTGTCCGCCTGGCACGGCGCTCGGCGCGCCGGGCGACCCTCTGTCACTCGAGCCCGCCGAGCCGACCGAGCCAACCGGGACGATTAAGGGACCGCGGCCCTCCTCGCCGGACGCCTCGCCCCGCCCTCTCTGCGACCGCCGCGGCGGCACGGTGGCTTTGCCAGCCTGGTTCGGCGGCTCTCTCGCTGCGCTGGGCCACACCACGTCCTTCGTGGGCACCCTCACCTCCTCCATAAATCCTCCCTTGCCGCCCAGCAGCACCGTGGTCCACCCCTTCTTCTGGGAGGCGACGAAGCCGCTGCGGTCCTTGTGCGGCCCGCTTGCGATGCGAACATGATTGCTGGGCGCGTCGGCCGACGCCGAGGCGGCCGTCTGCTCGCACGCCTTCTTGTTTCCGCTTTCCGCCGGCGGCCTCGCACTGCGCGTCTGCGGGCGGCGCTTCTCCTCGCCGGCCTTACCGGCCTCGAGCGCCACGGAGGCCTCCGCGAGCGGTGCAGCCTCCGTCATGATGAGTTGCGGCTGCCCGCGACCCACCCACCACTTGCGGCACGAAAGAATTCCCCCCCGCGCCGAAAGGCGAAAGAAGCCGCGAGAACAAGGGACCGGCAGGCGGCGGCGTCGCAGGACGAGGCAGAAGAGAACGACGCGACAGAGGAGGAAATGACAAGGGAGAGAACGACGAGAGTGGGACGGCCGCGAGGTGGCATGAAGGTTGCAGCGAGAAGCGGCGAGAGACAAACAAAGGAGCCCCAAAATTACGTGTGAGTGTTAAAGTTGTTTGGTATTGCTAAAAATCTCTCTCTCGAGAGACTGCGAAGAGAGATAGGAAGAGGCAGACTCCCTAGGGTGGGCGACGGCTAGCGCACCACACACCTCTCCTTAACATCCCTGTGTGGTGGCGGCGTGCCGTCCTCCCATCCCTCCCTTGGGTTGTCTGTTTTCTTTCTTTCTTTCTGGGCCCTCCCTTGCGCCTTGGGTTGTCCGTTTTCTTTCTTTCTTACTGGGCACGGGACAGGCGCGCGCTGGCACTAACAAGGCGCAGACTCGTTAGTGCCAGCGCGCGACTTGTTAGTGCCAGCGCGCGCCAGTCCGAAAGAATTTTAGAAACATCAGCGCTAACCCGCCACTTTCCCGGCCTTACGTATGCAAAAGAAAGAGCAGCGCTGGTTAGCCGTGGGTTAGTCTCGCTCGGTCGGGTTAGTCTCGGGTTCGTCTTTCTTGGGGTACGGCGGCTCGTTCGTTCCGCCCCTCTCACGCTCACGCAGACCACGCGCACCCACATCACAGCCGCGGGCGCATGGCGAGCGGGACAGCGTCTCATGCCACAGGATCTACAACTTACGGCGCCCTCAGCCTAGCCCTCAGCGCACTCCTCTTCCCTTGCGCCTTGGTTGGGCCATCACTGGCACTAACCCGGCCTTAACCCACCCCTAACCCGGCGCAAACCCATGCTGACGTTACGTATGCCCCCCAGTCGCGCGGGTTAGCGCTGGGTTAGCCGTGGGTTAGGGTGACCCGTCTTCACTTGACCCGAGCTGACCCGTGCCAGGTTTAGTGAGCACTAACCCTGGAGAGGGGGGACGACACTGCTTTGGCAGCGTGCACCTCGATCCTGTACCGTGTTTGTTATGACCCCCCCCCCAATGAACGCACCAGTGAGGGAGGGCGAGACGATCGAGGGGCCCCGTACCATGCGGAATCGACCCTATCCAGTGCTCAAGTGCTGCTCAAGCAGAGAGAGGAGCGCAAAGACCATCGCGCTGGAGTTTGACGGACGGGGGACGGGTCGGTCGGCGAGCCGAGGCGTGCTGGCGCTGGCAAAGCCGAAAGCGGTGTGCATGAGTCGGCCACGGCGCAGACTGCCTTTGGTGGCAGATTTTTTTGGAGCCGACATCCTGGCCGATGCTTGGGACGGAGTCGACGTGATCAAAGGCGGCCGAGTGCAAGGAAGCTCAAACTCGCACGTCCCAAGCGGAGACCCGAACCTTTCAGACAACCAACAATGACGGACCACCACTTCATGTCGACGCGCGTGTCCACCAAGCCGGTCAGCAACGCGGTGCACGCCGGCTACGACGGCGCCGCGAAGCGCGACGACGGCATCCCGCTCTACGGCATGGACAAAGAGCTCGCCGACAAGGCGGCGGCCAAGTTTGACCCGAAGATGGAGCGCGAGGCGCGGGAGTGGATCGAGGCGGTGACGGGCGAGGCGCTCGAGGGCACGCTCCAGGAGGCGCTCAAGTCGGGCGTCGTCCTCTGCGCCCTCGTCAACGCGCTCAAGCCGGGCGTCTGCAAGAAGCCGTCGGCGATGAAGATGGCGTTCCAGCAGATGGAGAACATTGCCAAGTACCTCGAGGCGTGCAGCGCGCTGGGCGTCCCGAAGCACGACCTCTTCCAGACGGTCTCGCTCTACGAGAATCAGGACATGATGGCCGTCATCACAAACATTCACTCGCTCGGCCGCGTCAGCGGCAAGGTGCCCGGCTACGGCGGCCCGACCCTCGGGGCAAAGCTTGCGGACAAGTCGGTGCGGCACTTTGACGAGGAGACGCTACGCAAGGGCCGGGCGGAGCAGACCTTCCTCGGCAAGGGCTCGCACGGGCACGCCTCGCAGGCCGGCACCGTCGATACCAGCCGCAACATCGGCAAGATGGACAAGGTCCGCGGCATCGACGGCCTGGGGACCGACGCCAGCGTGACGGCGGTCGGCATGGGCTCGCACGGGCACGCCTCGCAGGCGGGCACCTTCGACACCAGCCGCAACATCGGCAAGGTCGACCACGTGAAGGGCATCGGCGGCCTCGGTGGCGACGGCACCACGACTGCGGTCGGCATGGGCTCGCACGGGCACGCCTCGCAGGCGGGCACCTTCGACACCAGCCGCAACATCGGCAAGGTCGACCACGTGAAGGGCATCGACGGGCTCGGCACGGACGGCATCTCACAGATCAACCTGGGCTCGCACGGCCACGCGACGCAGGAGGGAATGGGCAAGATGCACGGCACGCGCGAGATTGTGCACCAGACCTTTGGCGGCGCAGCGGCGGCGGCGGCGTGAGGGGCGGCGCAGTTGAGGCTGGCGCGGTTGTTGATAGTTATTGCGGTACACGGGTTGGGTTGCTGGTTGCCGCGCCGGCGCGTACGCGTATATTGGAGTGTTCATTTATTCTACGTCTCGACAGTTGACTTGTAGTAAGTAAAAAGCTCTTCGTCGACAGCCTGGAGCCTCCGCACCCCGCAGGCCGCAGCCGCGCACGATCCGTGGCGCGGGCATGATATGCGTGTTGCGGTGCCCACCCCTGCTTGCTCGACTCAATAATTCCCGCCAGCTCTTGTGAGCTGTGAGCTGTGAGGGTCCGCCCGCAGGCGCACATTTTGTATACCGAGGCGGTGCCCGGTGCCGAGCGCAGG